ATTTTAAAATAACAGATTGCTTATCGATAACTAGTAGTTGGGATACTATATATCGATAGAATATCAACAATTCTCTTCGCGAGTTGAAAGAAAACAATTGCAACTAGCGCAGTAACAGCGCAGCACTTGTAAAAGGAAATTGTTTTCACACAATTTATATTGATTTAGTGTGTACCACATAGAATATAAAACTACTTAGTGAAGTTCTGTCGACGGGTACAGCGACTACAATTGTTGCTCCCTCTGGGGCCAAGTGTTTCCACATCGCCTACCACCGAGTCCGTGTGTTCGTCAGTATATTTGTGTGTGTGTGTGTGTTAGAGTGGAGCAGCAGCAAAAAAATGGCCAGTGAATGTTACACAGCTGCACAAACATGAACTCGAGTTAGGCCAACCAGATATAGCATCTGTTTTTGGGTGCAGACTTAGATACTAAGTATAACGCATTTTAATTTTGGGGCGCAGCGGTCACAGCTGCTGTTCAGTTACGCTGCGTGTAAACAAAACAAAAGTCAAGAAGTGGAGCAGTGCGAGCCAAGTTAACAACAACAACAACAACAGCACCAGCAACAACCACACTTATCACAATGACCAGTCGCAGTCGAGCTATATTAAATGTTAATCTCGATACGGTCATGGCCAACGATCCGTTGCGTGAGCTTTTCGAGGCCTGTAAAACAGGTGAAATAGCCAAAGTAAAGAAGTTGATAACACCACAAACGGTTAATGCACGCGACACAGCTGGACGTAAATCGACGCCATTGCATTTTGCAGCGGGTGAGTAACAAAAATCCTGTTGAAACACTAGCCCACACCCAGTCAGACGCTCGACATGCTGCCAAACGTTTAAGGACTAACTATCTAACGGTCCAATACTCAGTGTTCTGTAGTTGCTCCCCTTTTTTTTTCTCGTAAAATCTGGAAATTGTCTTGTTGCATGTTACAGCTTTCAGCGAGTGTCCTAGCCATTTGAAGATAACGTGTTTTTAGGCTGCTGTCTATTTTAAATTGGGCTTAGGCTTATTTATGGCAGCGCTGTACCAGCCCCCACCCCTATTGATTCACACACAAATGCACTCGTTGCTGCTGCGATTCTGGCCTTGATCTAGTTTTGGTTGCTGTGACGAGCGTCATTGTTGCCTGGCTAAAAGTCGGTTCACCGCCCGGACACCCTCATCCTCCGCCCCTGTGTATAAATGTCCCCCTCGTCCGCAAATGTCCGTTGGCCCTGCGCACGCTCGGCTCGCAGAGTTGACCTACTTTTTATATTGGTTTGGTTTCGTTTCCGGAACTCTCGGCGACCGCGACCAGCGTTGACTATGTGTTGCATTTGGCATTTTGGCCCAGTCAACATGATTTCCTATATTGCGCCTGGTCAGCATCCTGCTGACGTCGTTTGCATCTGCTCTATGTTGGCCTTGGCTACGCACTTCTTTTGAAGCGCAGAGTGGCCCAAACCGCATCCAACTTAAGCTACGAATTTCACTTTTTGCTCGGCTGCCTCGCCTGTCACGCCCAAACGCACACAGTTCAACCGCCGCCCCAACTCCTTAACTAATTAAAAAATACCTCCTGTCGCTTTTGGAGAGGGGCGTGGACGGTAGCCGTAGGTGGGGGAGCGGTACTTGCGAGTTTCACGCCCTTTGCATATCAATTTTTGCTGTGTCTTTTTTCTGTTGAATGCTCTGCCAATGGCCATTTCAGTTTGGACATGGTGTTTGTAATATACTCAAATTAAAATTGCATTAGTTTTATTAAACTATAAAAAGTTATGAAATTTTATTAATTTTGCTTATATAAATATTGTTTTTACTTTTGTAGTCTTGACATACATAAATATGTATATGTGTATAATACATGTATATGCAAATTTTTTCAACTGTTTGTTAACATCTGAGAAGTTTGTTTATTCTTTTAGCTGATTTTTATTAATTTTTGTAAGTTCTTTTCTAGAGTATTTTAAAGTTCGTGTCGAAAAAGTTTCGACCTCCGTTGTCTATGATTCATGCTTGCTTTTCTTTGTTTTTTTACTTTTGTCTGGGTTTTTATTTTACGTTTAACTGTTTACTGTTTTGACTGTCTCTCTAAACTGGTTTTCCAACCAATTTTTTAGTTATTGTCATTGTTGTTGTCATGTCTTTTGTCACGTTCTGAAGACAGACAACAAAAAGTGAGATCTACAAGAGTTGCTATCGACAGAGTTTTCACCTTGTTGCTGAGTAAACTAGCAAAAGTTGCTACGCCTCGCTCCGACCCGCCCCCCAGACCGCCCGGCCCCACACCTGTTGCAAATTGTAACACGTTTTTGTATAAATATCAGAGCACACCTTCACTCAGTCAAGAATTTCATTAATTTAATATTATATCCGATTCACTGTTATCTATCTGTACTCTTTATTTGCACGGCTTTCTTGTTTGCGAAGACGATAACGAGACTCGATAATTATTGCACGTATCTGGGGTCTCGGAAAGTCTAGTTAAACTAGACCTTCTTGGCCACAGCTACAAACATGCAAGATTTATAACATTTGCTTTTTATTAGTCAGCTAACAATTGTTGCATTAACCTTCACACTTATTTTTAAAGGGGTTTTATTTTAATGATAAACCTGGTCTAGCTTTTTCGCTCAAGGAGTTTGCTTTATGACCAAAAACAGTTCAGACACAATAGACATAACMATTATATTAATAATAATAATAATAACAATAACAAGAGCAGCTGTTGCACATTGAATTGCCCAACTCACATACAGCTAATACTATTTTCCATTCTATTAATTTTTCWCGCAACATTCGTAATTGTTTTGACCAAAATAATAAAGTGAACGGCGGTAACAACAACGAATTTCGCAAAGAGTCTTCAGGGAAGACTTGGCTTATAAAGTCAGTTTTCGTTACGGTTCTCAGTGCTCTCTGAGCAATTATTTGTTATACATTAATTACTTGTTGAATTGCAATCGAATTTGTTTTGACTTCCTGGTTGTCAAAATTGAAATTRTATTAATGATTTAGCTCTAAAAATGCATTAGTCACTGTTAACAATAACAGTGGGGCACCCTACTGCTATAGCGAATGCCCCTAATGTTAACCTCTATATATGTATATCTATATATGTATATC